GCTATAGCGCTGCACAGCAAAAACGCATAAAAAACGTGAACTTGAAGAGGAAGGATGAGAAGGGATGAAAACGCTGCAGCCCTCTAACAGAGGTGTCACTACTGCCTTCTGATAGTCCTGTGATTCTGGAACGATGCATTTTTATGATTTTCACTTATATACTGGCCTTTCCTCACTCTTCGGTCATCAGCTTACACTGGCCGACTTTTGCATTTGGTCGCCAATAACTAAGTGTATGGTGAAAAAAAAAAGCGGAAAAGTGCTGCCTGAATAAAAACATGCAAATTGCTAAGCAACAAAAATATGAGAAGCTGCAAATGAACAGAAGTAATACACGTAAAAAAAAACACTTGCCTTGTACCTTTGCAAACCTTCTCCTCGCTGGGCTGTCCCTGTGCACGCTATTCAATCCTTTGTTCTTTGGTTCCAGAAATTTCAAGCAAATAGCCTCTAATTATATCATTTCTGGAGTTTACACGCAATATTCGCTAATTACTGAGTTCGAATTTACAAAGTGAGTTACGTAGCAGCATTGGTACATTTGCGCCAGTTGCATACCCACGTCATTGCATCTACGTTTTAAAAAACATGTTGTTATAGTTTTATCAGTGACTTTATGCATGTTATTTCTACACACATATTCCGCCATCAGCTTTTTTCTAATCAAAAATCTTTGAGGGAGCAATCGACAGTCTTGCCAACGGGTGGTTGGGTTAGTAAATGCCACTCGCGAAATACTTCCAAGTGCCTTCGCCTTCCATAAAGAGTAAATAGCGAGGAGGTTTGCCTTCATCTATATCTATAGCAGGTGAAGCAAATACATAGAACAGGCAATTGGTACTAACTGCAGGTATGCAGTTCAGGGCTGCAGCCATAGGCGGGTCCAAGGGAGAGGGGAGATGGGTCTTTAATCCCACCCCCACCAAAGCGGCACAGGCATCAATGCTGCAGAAGCCCGGGTCTGCTAGGTAACTCCAACTAGCAGTGTTACAACTCTGTTCCTAGGTTTTGCATAGTTCCAGGATAGGAGGGGGTTTTCTCCTCACTACTTGTCACACCTCTTTTCCCCCACACCCAGCAGCCCCACTTTCCTCACCAGGAGTACGTCGTGAAACCATCTATGACTGCAGCTAGTGCAAGAGCTTATCGGTAGCATCATTAATATGGGATACTCACACTTGCTGCTCAAGCGGTTTTACTATTCTTGGTTATATTACCGCCCAATACAATCAGTTTCTTAAAATGTTCAACGAAGACCCGTGCAGAATAATAGTTTTAACCCAGGCTGGGACGCAACAAACTTGCCGGTGCGATCATGCGTTTTTGCACCGACCTTAAGTAATCAGGTCGTTAACTGCATGAATGGTTTTTGCTTTACACCTACCTTGTGCAGTCGTTCCTTGGAAATGACCCAGCAGTTCAATGAGCAATTTTCCCGCCAAAACTTTTAACTGCTTGAGGCGAGAACCACGCATATCTGGGAGCTGAATTTCAAATCTTCAAGTTGTAACTCGACAGAGAACATTACCCTAAAATTTCGACTTTCCAGTCTTTCTGGTTCCCGAGATCGCTCTCCCGCCAAAAAAGTTTGCATATTTTTAAGGCTCGTGCACGTAGGACTCACGCTTACGCGGGCGATCATATTAAAACGGAATAGTCGCACGTAGTTGGGCACATACTGCTGAAGCTTCGCCTTCTAACTTTTCTGGTTCTCGAATGGGTGACAAAAAGCGTGTACATATAGACACAGACAGATTCTCGCAAATATGCGTTTTTGCACTTGCATATTTGCAAAAACACACAATAAATAAACTCCACTTTGCACGGGTGTGGTGCAGTGGGAAAGTAGGAAGAAGGAACTATGAGTAGGCATTCATCTTTTTTTCAAAGAGCGTGTGATAAATCTTCAATTTTTATGCAGCTTGGTATTATTTCAAAACTTACTTTGAGCAGCCATCAGTTTGAAGCTCGGAGCTTCTCATCACTCCATTAATTTAGCCCTAGGCTTTCAAGCTTTCTATAATTTTATTTTAGCATTAGTACTTTTACGGACCAGCATTGAAAAGCCTGAAAATAAATACACCAGGCATGTGGGAGCATCCCATTAGCGTCACTAACATGACATTCCTTTACTGGTTGCCGGAGTGGTTTTGGTAGTATTACTTTGAACTAGTTTCCAGCTCTGCAGTGTTTCAATTTCTGTGCTAATTAAAGTATGAGAAGTGTCATTTTTAGGGCAACAGAAAAGACAAATAAGAGAAAAATAACAGGTAAAAACGGTTCTAAGAAAATATGTGAAGAAAAGCATTACATTAAAAAAACAATGCCCGTTATAGATGATGAATGTATAAAAATAAGTAAGATACAACTGGAAAAGAATAAGTCAGTCTACTAAGTCGCACACCAATACACACAACTGGGCTTGGTATCATTATTCACTTAATTACTATTATTCACTTAATTAAATTATTTAATTATAAATAGTCTTTTTTAACATTTCGCATAAAATTGCTTCCTCCAGCATGTCGCTCTAAATAAACATTAATTGCACTTTTGATTGAAATTTTTCAAAAGTGCCTTTTCTCTCGTCCAAGATCCAGCCAAAGAAATGACCAGAAAATGATCGGTCAAAATTCCCCGACCAATAAATCTGTGTTTTCTTCGCTCCATATTTAATAGTTTTTGACTGAATTTTTATCAAAACTCTTAGATGAGCGGCATCCGAGAGAGCACTCGGAAATACTGAGTTTGTACAACACAGTGGAATGCGCACTCACCCTAAACTAGTAATATGAGCGTATTAGGAAATAATATTTTTACTTTGCTTTGTAGCTTTGTACTCGGAAAATCTGAATTAATTTTTTGCTTTACGAAAAGGTCACAGATAAAAAAGTAAGAGGAAAATGGGTAGAAAAAAACTACCGAAAACAACAAGACCATCCAAGCTCCGTCCGGAAAGTGGATATCCTATGTTACTGATTTTGCTGGGTTGTTCCTGCACACCAAGTGCAGCTATACCAGGCCCTTCAATTCTTGACGGCATACTTTCAGTAAATATCAAATGCTGTTCGGCGCCTATGCGACACCTCTTCCGGGATTGCTTGAGTGGTCATTTACTTTTTCACAGGTACCATTCATTAGCATGTGTTGTCCACCGGTTGCCGGCAAGGCCAGCAACCCTATCGAACTTTATTTTTTCGAATACAAAAATTATCAATATAAATAAAAACAGGAAGGAATCACAACTATTTTTGTACATGCACATGTACATATGTGACATTGATATTTTAAGAACTTCAAGTACTTTTTTGATTGTCAAAATATGTTGATTTTCCACATTTTTCGTCACTTTGCAGTCCTCGTTCAAGTGCCAGCCGTTCGTTCGTGAATTTTACTCTTTCCACGGGGTATGAATCCGCATGCAAACTTCGCATTACGGAATTTTCAGGATGTTGGTACAGTTGCTG